CACACACACACACACACACACACACACACACACACACACACACACCCAGTGTTGCCAGTGAGGGCTGCCTGCTCTGAATTCCCTTTTCAAAAAAAGGAATCCTTGGCGGAAATTAAAAAGAAAAGACATTAATCCCAAAGAGATCCATGAGGTTACATTGAACTACTAGAGTCTGGCATCTTTCTCTGAATGCCAGAACTTCCTAGAGCAAAGCATAGTTTTTTTCTAGTAACTAATTCTGTTGGGAGTGTGACAGGTATGGGATATACCTTTTCTCAGTTTATTGGGGGGGGGGAATCTCCCTTTTGCTTGAAAAGAAGGTACAGTCTGCTCCACCTTTTAATTTCTTGGTTGGTTTTTTTTAAAAGAGCGTTTTGTCAACTGTTACGCCTATATTATAGAAATCTGCCGTTCCTATATTATACAAATATATCTTAGCCAATCACTGGAATGCCTCTCTTCAATACATGAAGAGAATAATCCCAATCTCTTTGCTAAGTGTAAAAGAGCCCAGTTGTTCCCAGAAGTGTGAAGATTGATGCCATGTGGGCTGTTTTATGATTTTGTTAAGTTTCTCTCTGCAGACTGCAAATAATTCTTTTCTTAAAGATCGTTTTGTTTTCACTTTCCTAGCCAATTAGCAATGCTGATTTCATCGTTCCCGTTGAAATTGATGGAACTATACATCAGGTAAGTACTGCTTGCATTTTTATATGGAAGTGGCAAATTGCTTTGCACCTGTCTACAGTGGTCAAGTTAGCTTGGCAGAGGATGAAGCTTTGGAGTTAATCGACAGGTTAAAATTAGTGAGTTTTTGGGATTGCAAAGTTTCAACTACAAAGCTATTTCAGTTCAAACTGACAGTAAAAAAGTGTTACTTTAAACAGTAACAATAATTGATTCATCACATCAAGATATTTTGTTGCCTAATCTTCTTGTCATAGTTTATCCAGGTAACTTACCTGCTGACCATCATACTTCCAGAGGTTCAGATATTAGTTCTAGGTGCAGTTTTTCAGGTACATGCATCTAAAAAGGGTGAATTCATATTCAGGTAGTAGTCTCCGACTTACAACAGTTCATTTAGTGACCATTCAAAGTTACAATGGCACTGAAAAAAAGATTTATGACCATTTTTCGCACTTATGACCATAGTCAAATGATCAAAATTTGGAGATTAGGTAACTTTTTGTTTACCTAATCCTGGCATCCAAAATCAATGGGGAAGCCAAATTCACTTCACAGCCGTGTTACTAACTTGAAAACTGCAGTGATTCACTTAACTATGGCAAGAAAGGTTGTAAAATGGGGTAAATTTCATTTAACGAATGTTTCATTGAGTAATAGAAATGTGCTCAATTGTGGTTATAAGTTGAGGACCACCTATATGGCTTTCTGACAGCCTTCTGAAGTATAAGAAAATTAAGGATTTCAGTTCAGTTCAAAAACCTGCTTTCCTTCTTGCTCCATTAAATATTTTTGGGTGATGTAATCAAAAAATCTTATCCTCCTTTTCAACAATCATAATGGGTGCCTTAAAGTAAAAATGGGTCAAAATTCAGTGCAAAGAGCATAGTATCTGTTAAAGTAGTCTTTTTAACTATGAGCAATAAAAGAAAACATTAGCATCCTCAAGGGGCAATGCATTGAATACATTTAGGTATCATTAAAAATTGTATTCGGACAGAACATCCTTCTGATTGAAAATGCTTTGAGATTCTAATTTGGAGCAAGGAATATTCATAAGATAATAAACTACATTATAGAGGAGAAATAGAATAGAAGGAAGGGATCTTGGAGGTCTTCTAGTCTAGCCCCCTGCTCAAGCAGGAGAAACTACTACATTTTTCATCACTTGAGGTTAAATGAGAGTTGCATTTGTTTGAACATGCAAATAGATATGTGTATTATCTTATATTTAATATAGATGGTGAAAAAAGAAAGAATATAAGGTAATTCTCAATTTATTACCTTTATTGACAGTTCGAAGTTGCAACAGCCTCCCCCCACAAAAAAGTGATTTATTTCTTGAATTTGCACTTAACAACCATCACAAACTGTCTCACCACTGCTATGGTCATGTGATCTCAATTTGGGCACTTGGCAACTGGTTTGCATTTTCAACAAGTTGCAGCATCCTGCAACCAAGTGATGTTTTGTTTCCAGCAAGAAAAATTTTTTGGGAGGGAGAATCTGAATTCATTTAACCACTGTTGTAAAATCAGACCGGGTCACATGGTTATTCAAATGACTGCAACACTTTATGAAGGAAAGTAGTCCTCAACTTACGACCAAAATTGAGTCCAAAAATTTATGTTGTTAAGTGAGACATTTGTTAAGTGAGTTTTACCTCATTTCACAACCTTTCTTGCCATAGTTGTTAAGTGAACCATGGCAGTTATTAAGTTAGTAATACGTCTGTTAAGTGAATCTGGTTTCCCCATTGACTTTGCTTGTCAGAAGGTCGCAAAATGGGATCACGTGACCCCCCCCCCCCCCCCCGGGACACTGCAGTGGTCATAAATATGAACCAGTTGCCAAGCGTCTGAATTTTGATCACATGATGCTACAAAGGCCGTAACTGTGAAAAAGGGTGATAAGTCACTTTTTTCAATGCCATTGTAACTTTGGTCATTAAATAAACTGCTGTAAGTGTAGGACTTACCTGTAGTTGCCAACCGTTTAACTTTTTTTTTTTTCATTTAGAAATGGCAGAGAGAGTGTGTAAAACTATGATAAACTGTGAACAGTTGTGCATGGGTTTAGTAGGTGATGATGTTTTTGCATCTAATCTATTCTTTTTTTAAAGGACAGCCTTCTTGGTGCGCCTTTCCAGGAAGGGCTGCGACCGGGTTCAAGTAATCCAGGATAGGCTGTGTGCAATCTTAATGGCCTATCCTTGATTACTTGCACTGGGACGTAGCCACAACACGATAAAGAGGATGCTGGGGAGTCCCAAGTCCACGTGTCTTGTTCGCACTTTTCTAAAAGAGGAGACTGCAGCTAAGGATGTTGTGATTCAAGAGTAGATTACCTCCAGTTCAAAAAGTCAATGAAACAAATACAAAACCAAACTACTTGCTGACATAATACTTACAATGTTTGTCTCTCTCTCTCTCTCTCTTCTATTGTGCAATTTAGTGACAACAAAGTTTTCTCTTCTCTCCTCTCCCCTTCTCCCTTCCTCTTCCCCCTTCCTTTCAATTCTTATTCTATTCTATCCTATTCTGTTCTTTTCTATTCTATTCTATTATTCTGTTCTATTCTATTCTCTATATTGTATTCTTCTGTTTTATTTCTATTCTGCCTCGGTCTTAAGTCAGTACAGTAGTCCTTGACTTACAACCATGTATTTAGTGACTGTTCGAAGTTACACCAGCACCTACTTATGACTGTTGCAACATCCCCATGGTCACGTGATCAAAATTAAGACACTTCACAACTGATGTGTTTATGACCGTTGCAGTGTCCCGGGGTCATGTGATCACCACTTACAAACTTCCCAACCAGCTTCTAACAAGCAAAGTCCATGCAGGAAGCTGGGCTTGCTAAATTGCCATAGGATTCACTTCACCAACGGCAGGGATTCATGTAACAAATGCAGCAAAAAAGGCCGTAAAATGAGTCAAAAATCACTTAACAACTGCCTTGCTTGAGAACAAAAACTTTGAGCTCAGTTGAGGTTGTAAGTCGAGAACTTAGCTGTATTTGTATGTTCAATAATTATGTAGCAGGAATAACGTTCCTTGAGTTAGTGTGGATAGGTTTTATTAAAGCATTAGCTATAATTATTTACTGAAGTATCTTAGCTACAATCCTATCAACAGTTTTTTAATAGCAAAAGCCATAAAAATCCATTCCATTCACAAATCCGAGATTTTGCCATTTTGAAAATGAAACGAAATGAAAATGAAATTTTCATTCTGAGACCAAAATCCTTCCTCTTTTTGAAGGCGTGAAAAAGAGAGTATTGAACCCATCCATTCTTTTTGCAGACGAATAAAATCTTTTGAGTTGGTATGATAGGTTAACAATCCTTTAATTTTAAAATTGCGTCCCTTTAAGTTTATACTGTTTTTCCTGTAATGCCTCATTGATTTATACAGGAATAAAACTGCACTAGCTAGGCCTTTGTAACGATGCAGCGGGACTTCACTCCGCCTCTTGTTTTTATCAAAGTATAAATTGATTCTTCCAGGATCATGAACCTTAGCTGTTTGCACATTTCTGAATCTCAGTGCCTGCCTCCTTTCTCCACTTTCAGGTTTATGTGTTAAAACGGCCACACGTGGACAAATTTCTCCAGAGAATGGGAGACCTTTTTGAATGTGTTCTATTCACAGCCAGCCTAGCAAAAGTAAGTCGTGCAATCCGTGTGTCCCTTATTCTCACAATCTGGTCTCATTTCAGGTACTCCAAAGTTGGGCACAGCACACTGTCACCCTGGTTAATTTTGTAACATTGGCATAGCTGGGCCAACTGTCCAGCATTTCTGAAGAAACGAGCATCGGGTGAACATGAACAATTGAGTTTTCTCCCTTTACCCAAATCTCCTAGAATAAAAGTTGGGTCCTTTTTTTTTTGGCCTATCAAATAAGGAGAAAATAATTATCTTCATCTCCCTCCCACCCCCTTTTTCTTCTTCTTCTTTTTCTTCTTCTTCTTCTTTTGCTTTCTTTATCTGGCAACGTGTACTTTTGCCTGCTAATGTGTGGGTAAGTGTTTCCATGGTAATCGTATCACATATGGGCTCGTCTCATAACTCAGCCTTCCTGGATTGCTCCTGATGCCAATATGGGAGCCTTTTTTTAGTTACCATGGTTATGTGGGGGGGGGGGTTAGAGAGAAAAATAGCTTATTACATAATGTACTATCATCCTTAACTGGGACAGATCCACTGCCCGGTTGGATCGATATATGGGCAGTTAATAGGATAGACTTCAAGTTGGTGAAAACATACAAGCAAATTCTATTTATATATATATATATATTACACACAAATTCTGCTGACATTATCTGTCTTTGTGGACTTGGGAGGTCCCTAACCAGGAAGGAAGGGGACCGATACTTCGTTGTGCCTTTGAATTAGAAGTCGTCATGCTTATAATTACCTCCACCGTAAATGTTTAGTCTTGTGGTGTTTCCAGTGTTGTCTGTACCTGTGATAGCAGAAAAGCAGATAAAATCATTATTGTGCACACTTTGATAGCAATGGAGAAATTAGGAAGGTGCATTAAACCAGTGGACTAGAATATCCTCACAAATAAGTTGACCAGTGGCTCTTGTTTGCAAGAGGAGCTTCCATACAAGGCTGCTTCATCAAAATTATTCCTATTCTGGATTTTTTTAAAAAAAAATTACAACCAAGGCTATATCCATTTGCAGAACAGATCACCAGCGTAGCAAAACAGCTGTGCCTGTATCCAGAGATAACTTTTCGAGCAGCTGCAAGAAACTTTGCAGAACGCCGTTTTTACAAATTCCTTGTCTAAATATGATATCAGCATGTTTGGTTCACACCAGGAGTGGTTGCTGGCAGTGAATTCAGGTTCAAGTATTTCAACTGGTAATAAAACCCCCGAGCTTCAGCATTAAAGCAGCTTTAATCTTCTTCCGTTTTCCAGGAAGGTTCAGCAGGCTTCTTTTTTTAGTTCTCGAGAAGGAAGACTGAAAATCAAGATAGGTTCATTAGCCTTCCACAGTTTCATTGAAAGATTTCTGTGCCATTCGAAACCATCTTACTTCGGCAGAGCAGTGAAATTAGAAGTTTGTCTAATGTGTACTCTGAAATTCTATGCAGCATAGAAAATTGCAAGATGCGCAGTTTTCAAATTAAAACAGGATTATTATAAAATTACAAATAATAATATGTCGACCGCTAATATTTTAAAGTCTTGGTTTGTTCAATTTCTAGTCTAATACAGGGAATCCTCGACTTACGATCACAATTGAGCCCAGTGGGACATTTGTTAAGTGAGTTTTTGCCCCATTTTTCTTGTCACAGTTGTTAAGTGAATCGCTGCAATTGCCAAGTGAGTAACACAGTCGTTAAGCGAATCTGGCTTCCCCCTTGACTTTGCTTATCAGAAAGTAAGAAAAGGGATCAAATCACACACACACACACACACACACACACACACACACCCTGGACACTGAAACCATCAAAAATATGTGTCAATTGTCCAGCATCTGAATTTTGCTCACATGGGGATGCCACAATGCGAAAAATGGTCATAAGTCACACTTTTTCAGTGCCTTCATTGTAACTTTGAATGGTCACTAAATGAACTGTGGTAAATCAAAAGCTATCTTCATAGCAGAATATGTTTTACACTCTGCTCCTTCATGAGGAATTGGTCTAGCGTACTTGGTACTTTTTTCACGTTTGTTGTTCTTTCCAAAAACGAGGCTTTCCAATTGGGCTTCGTATCACAAAGACAAAATCCCATCTTGATTTTGATCTAGAAGAAGCTGGTTTGTTTTGGTGATGCCTTTGGAATCAGACTTGAACGAAATCCCAAAGATGCTTTTTCAAAAAGCAGCTAGATTGTCTGTTTCTTTTTCCCCTTTAAAAAACATTTTGCTTCCCATTCAAGAAGCTTCGGCAGTTGGATAAGAAGCAAACATTTTCAAAGGGGAAAAAAAAAAAGACCTTTGCAAAATCCCTATAATGATGTGATCAAAATTCAGGCGCTTAGTAACTGGTTCATTTTTATGACGGTTGCAATGTCCCGGGGGTCACGTGATCCCCTTTTGCGGCCTTCTGAGAAGCAAAGTCAATGGGGAAGCCCAGATTCACTTAACAGCTGTGTTACTAACCTAACAACCACAGTGATTCACTTAACAACTGTTGGCAAGAAAGGTCGTATCACAGGGCAAAACTCACTTAACTAATGTGTCACTTAACAACAGAAATTTTGGGCTCAGTTTTGGTCATAAGTTGAGGACTACTTGTATTTTTGTGTGTTTAATCCCCAATTTTCTAGGGCCTCTCTTAGCGCTTAGTTCCTAGGGGGTCCTCTTATTCTAAGCTTGAACCATTTCCACAAGGCAAAAAAGAACACTTTAACCCAACGTCTGCCAACGTTGACTTCTTTGCGTCACATCCCTAGGAAAGCACATAGCCACCACACTGTCATCATGGTTATATCTTTATTTCTTCATTGGGCTTTATTTAATATTTGTATTTAAACATGTATGTTGAGTTTTCAACTGGGAGAAAAATATTCTTTTATTTCTTAACTGTAACCCCTTTTCTTTCATTAACAAAAAAAAATAATCAAAAGTATGCAGACCCAGTGGCAGATTTGTTGGACCGTTGGGGTGTGTTTACGGCTCGACTCTTCCGGGAATCCTGTGTTTTCCACAGAGGAAATTACGTGAAAGATCTTAGCCGGCTTGGACGAGAATTGAGCAAAGTCGTCATCGTAGATAATTCCCCTGCGTCTTACATCTTCCATCCTGAAAATGCTGTAAGTAATTTTGATCTTAATTTTGTTGTTGATCAGTCATTAAGTTGTGTCTGAATCTTTGCGACCTCACGGACCACAAGCATGCCAGGTCTTACCTGTCCTTCACTGTCTTCACATTAATACCTGAAGTATTAATGCCACTCTATAAGGCCTTGGTAAGACCACACTTGGAACAATGGCATCCAGTTTTGGTTGCCACGATGTAAAAAGGATGTTGAGACTCTAGAAAGAGTGCAGAGAAGAGCAACAAGGATGATTAGGGGACCGGAGGCTAAAACATACGATGAACAGTTGCAGGAACTGTGTATGTGTAGTTTAATGAAAAGAAGGACCAGGGGAGACAGGATAGCAGTCTTCCAATATCTCAGGGGCTGCCCCAAAGAAGAGGGAGTCAAGCTGTTCTCCAAAGCACCTGAGGGCAGGACAGGAAGCAATGGGTGAAAATTAATCAAGGAGTGAAGCAACTTAGAGCTAAGGAGGAATTTCCTGACAGTTAGAGCAATTAATCAGTGGAGCTGCTTGCCTCCAGAAGCTGTGAATGCTCCAACACTGGAGGTTTTTAAGAAGACACTGGACATTTGTCTGAAATGGTTATAGGGTTTCCTGCCTGAGTTGGCTGTTGGACTAGACGACCTCCAAGGTCCCTTCCAACTCTGTTATTCTGTTATTCTATTCTGTCTCCTGGAGTTTTCCCAAATTCATGTTTGTTGTGTCAAAAACACTATCTAACCATCTCACCCTCTGCCGTCCCTTTCTCCTTTTTGCCTTCCATCTTTCCCAGCAGCAGGATCTTCCTTATCTTCTCATTCGGTGGCCAAAATATTTGAGCTGCAGCTTCAGGATCTTGTCCTTCCAAAGGACAGTCAGGGCTGGTTTCCTTTAGCATTGACTGATTCGGCCTCCTTGAAATCCAAGGGTCTCTCGAGAGCCTTTTTCAACAGTGGTTGCAATATACGGAAGTATTTCTGCCTTTGGATTTGTCTAGAAAGATATTTGTTGACTTTAAAAAAAAAAAAAGAAAGAAAAGAGGGAGTAGGCTCCAGAGTGTCAGTTTAGTAAGAGATTTGGAGATCTGCCATTAGAGAATTATCACTCTCCAGTCATTTACCAAAGAAACCATGAATTAAATTTATGAATGAAATAAAAGAGCCCGCTGTGCCATTGCTCCCACCCTTTGGAGCACCCTCCCCTCCAGAAGTGAGGTGGCCCCCCCCCTTTCTCCTGGCCTTCTGGGAAGCTGTCAAACGTGGCTCTTTTCACCTTGTTTGGGGCTTGTAGAGACCACACAGCCCTAGGGGCTGATAGCAACCTGAAAGCCCCCTTAAAAATAAACACACTTATTTTTAATGTATCCTTTTCTTTTTGAATTTTGTACACTGTTTTAATGCTTTAATATTTTATTTGTAAACCACCCAGACTCCTGTCATATAGAGACAGGTGGTCTCAAAATTTAATAAAATAAAAGTCTCAGCCGGTCTTCTGAAACCTCCTAGATTTGCACACAAACCCCCATACAACAGCAGAAAGCAGGTTTCAAGGTGTTTAATGTCAAAAAACAACCTTCCCATCCGGCAAGAACAGCATACAATCCAGTCTAGGTTAGCACTGGAGGATTCTGCCTTCCAATGCTATTTCAAGGTACAAGCACACCCACCTAAACGCTCCTATCTCCTGTACTTGCCCCTTAATTAATTACCCTCTAGGACACCATCCGGTTACACGTAATATGTCCATTGTTTCCTATCTCCGCAATCTACCTTTCGCCGATGGACCCTACCTACTCGTGCGTAAACTATATACCCAGATTTCCCCCCTTCCCCATCATCCGTTGCAGCACCCCAGTCGACTCCAAAAGCCGCAAAAGGACGGGGGGGGTTCCTGGATTCTCGTCACCCGTCGACCATCCCACTCCGCCACGATGTGTCTGACAGCTAAACGGTCCCGGAAGTATATAGCGTCAGGCTTCAGCTGCTCTTGCAAACATGCTGACGGGCTCAGTTTATCTATCAGCACTATCGACATAAAACCTCACGTGTCAAATTATATTTGTGACCTCTAGAAAGCATAACAAAATATCTGTTAACCAAAGGAAGAAAATCCAGCGATGCCCACCCTGAAAAGCATCTCTCTAGACAGGGTCAGAAATAAGACAGTTGATGATGTTACCTAGTTGGGTAGTGAAACCTCTGCAAGCTCAGCTAGATTGCCAGAAATCCCCATGAAATGAAAACACGCTCTTTGGCTGACCTCTTCCAAAACCTTTTCCAAAATAACCCATGCAATGCGCAAACACACACACTCCACTGTGAGAGCCAATTTCGACCATGGTTAAGGCACCAGTTTACAAAGCAGGAGAGGATGAGTTCTAGTCCCACCTTAGGTATAAAAGCCAGCGGGGTGACTTTCAGCCAATCAATGGGAGACAGTGAGTTCTAGTCCCGCCTCAGGCACACAAGCCAGCTGGGTGACTTTGAGCCAATCACCAAGAGATTCTGGTTTTTAGTCCCGCCTTGGGCATGAAAGCCGGCTGGATGACTTTGGGCCAGTCCCTTTCTCTCATCCCAACCCACCTCACAGGGTTGTTGTGAGGAAATTCAGAGGAGGAGGGTGTACTGGATATGTTTGCCACCTTGAATTATTTGTAAAAATAATGAATGGATTGGAATAAATGAATAAAATACAAAACCATCCCCTTGGATAATGCAAGTGACCCCTTGACTTTGACTGGAACTTCATAGCTGGAGCTTCTGTGTGTGTCTTGTGCGAGACTTTCCTCAACATACAACCACAATTCAGCCCAGGTATTCCATTGTTAAACAGAACAATTGTTAAGTGAGTTTTGCCCCATTTTACAACCTTTCTTCCCACAGGTGTTAAGTGAATCACTGTAGTTGTTAAGCTAGTAGCAGGATTATTAAGTGAATCTGACTTCCTTCTTCGACTTTGCTTGTCAGAAGGTCACAAAAAGGGGATCCTGTGACCCCAGGACACTTCAGCATCCTAGATATGAGTAAGTTGCCCAAGCATCCGAATTTTGATCACCTAATCCTGGGGATGCTGCAATGGTTGTAAGTGTGAAAAACTATAATGTCACTTTTTTCTGTGCCGTTGTAACTTTGAACAGTCAACGAATAATCTTAAGTCCAAATCTCCCCACATCGTATTCAGATGGGCTTGTATAAGTCAGTCAGCCTTTTCCTAGGGTGTTTCTTAAAGGTTCAAGTAACCTACAATTGCATATACCCGTGCTTCACTATGAAACTATGTGGTTGGGCTCAGTTTTTGGGGAGGAAAATAAGTAAAAAAAAATCTGCCTCTTCCTACCAGCATCCATCGGTATTCATCTGGCTAGCATCCTGTCAGTGTGTGAGAGAGTTGAGGGCTGTTTGGAAACTGAAACAATATTTGCTGTGTGAGCAAGAAGGAAACAGCAAGGAGCCTGGGCGTGGCTTAGCTCAACTGTTTGCTGCTGAGAAACTGAAACTGAAACTCCTCTGTTTTTCTTTTGCATTTGGAACAGGTTTCTTTTCAGGTGGGGAGGGGGAGTAGAACTCTTCAGCATCAGAGCATGTTAATAATAATAATATAGGAAATACTAATAGCTCTGATGGTCATTTCAAAAAATCCTTTCTTAGTGAGCCCCTAGAAGCCAAGAGGAACATACGTGCCAAATTTTAACTTTGTAGGCTTTGTACGGTTCTGGAGATTTTGTGATGATGCATGAGTGGTATTTCGCTTTTATGTGTGTATGTATGTATGTATGTATAGAGATAGAGAGAGAGAGAGAGAGAGAGAGAGAGAGAGAGAGAGAGAGAGAGACATGGATGGATGGATGGATGGATGGATGGATGGATGGATGGATGAATAACAATATTAAGTTGTTGGAGCTTTTGTTTTTTAATTTCAGGTGCCTGTTCAATCCTGGTTTGACGACATGACAGACACAGAACTGTTAGACCTTATTCCTTTCTTCGAAGGATTAAGCAGAGAGGACGAAGTCTATACGATGATCCATAAGCTGTGTAACAGGTAGTCAGTCCCCTGAACACCTGTCCTGTTGCATTACCTGAAGCATCTCTCGGAGACTGCTCTGGATAAACCTTCAATGTTTCTCATCCTTCCTCTGCCATGAAAGACAATTGTGACCCAATGCTTCTAAATCATGAGATTGACTTAACGCCACAAGGTGACCGGATTGCTTCTTAAAACAAAAATCAAGAAAAGAGAAGATAATGAAAAAGAAGCTATTTTGAACGGGACGCTTAACGCATTTCATAAACAGGCGCATTTTACAAATTCTGCTTTTTTTTTTTTCCTCCTTAAAACATGCCAAAAAATAATAATAATAATGAACGCTTGGTGTTAACTTCAACCAGTCAAGTCATCCCCACCCACCCACCCGCCCCCCGCCCCCTTCCCAGCTCATCCTGCTATGCAGAGTGTTTTTCTCACCCCGCCCTGCTTCATTAGAGCAGTTGACCTGACTCTGAACTTGATTTCTTCCAGGATGAAGTGCCTTTTTGAATGTTGTTTTAAGATTTACAAAAAGAAAAAAAGAAAAAAAAATCACTTTTGTACAAGAGGTATTTCCAGAATCTTTTAGTCTTGTATTGTTTAAATGCTTGAAAGAAGAAAAAAAAGACAAAGAAGACCTGGGAGACATTTTTTTATAGAGCCACTTAAAAACTACGGAATCCAAGGAGAAATTTGGGAAAAGGTTGTTATTGTCCTTAAAATATCAATGGCTATATTTTGTACCCCATTTGAAGCCGCATACCAGTAGGTAGAAGTAAACTACGGGGTAACATCTAAGCTGGAGAGGCAGCTCCCTTAATAATTTGGATGTTTTGCACTTAGATTAGGACATATCTGCCTTCTTCTCTCCCCAAATGGAATACAGCAAAATGGAATGGGAGGTACGCTCCCTTGCAAGTAAGTCCACATTCCCTTCGAGAAGAGTCTGATTGTGTTTGCTAACGCACAACTGCCAGGTGTTTCTGATGTCAGGGATAAAATAGAGAGAAAGCATAGAAGACAATGAGTGTATTTATTCAGCATGAAATATTTATAGTAAGCTATTGCAAACGATGTGCTAAAGTTCGAAGGAAAGGGAAGTTTCTTTCCACAACCTACTTTCCTTTCTATGGCCCTGGTGGGAGACATTTCACTTTATATTATTGTTTTGTTAAATCGTGCCGTTTCTCCCCATCCCCTCTTAATTGCTGCTAATGAAGGCTCACCAAATGGAACTGGACCTTGGCTTTTATACTGTTCTTTGCCGCTGTGCCTGTGCTACTGGAACTTCAAAAGCCCTTTACATATTTAGTTTTTGGCCAACGTAATCACGTGTCAATCTGGTTGGGTTTTTTTTTTTTTTTAAATTCGGGGTTGTCATCAGTGTTTCCACAGTGGAATTTTTCTTCCCTTCATGCTTCTTCCATTTTTGTTAAAAAGAAAAATAGGGATGTTAGTTCTGTGCTTTAATTCTATGATATAACATTTAATTCTTCTTTTTCTTTGCAACTTTCTAACCCGATCTAGGGTCGTGCATGGAGATGCTTAGAACTAACATATTTTAGGGAAAACCGGGTCGTCAGAGTGAAAAGCTTTTAGTATTTTAATTTGGTGTGTATTTGTTCCTCAGTATAGAACAAAGCTTGATTTTTTTCTGAAAACCTGAACCCTATTAAGTACATTGGTCTGAGAAAGCACAATTACTGGGTATATTTTTGTTTTGGTCAAGATTGTCAAATAATTCTCTATTGTTTAGATGTATGCATTTTTTCATCCTTGGAGGGAAACATTGTGATAAATATCAAGAATGTTGGTTTTTCCCTATATTTGTCTTTCTCTATATTTTTTAATCTTTTGAATCTAAAAGAGGGTGCACTTCAGTTGTATGTTTCCATCCTCCTTGTAAATTCATTTTTATTCTTTTTTACACTAACCGAACCCCTTTGAAATGCTCAAATACCATAGTGGACAAGAACTGTCTTTAAAACATTTGGTGTTTATCCCAGTAAAAATAACCTCTCAGATGCTGAAATTACAGGTTCTTGCTCCTTGCCTTTGCAGTTTTAGTTGAATTCGTTAAAAAGATTATTTTTTAAATCAGTTAAGAAGCAGATGGGCCATCTATTCAAAGTGAACATTCAGGCAAACATCCATAGACAGAAAACAGGTGATCAGAGGCATAGTTAAAAAAAAAAAAAAAGCCGAAAACCAGACTCTTGATTCCACCCAAGGGACTTTTAATCAATGTTTGGAGAGCTCTACCAGTATTGTATTAGCAGGACAGTCCTCCTATATGAACCCCGAGGGACCAACTCTGCCGATATCTTCATTTGACCTATTGAAGGTTCTTCTTTTAATTGTACATCTTCTCTGTCAAGAATCTGATATATATCTGATCAGAATAATAACATCTGGAGTGTTGGTGGGTTTTTGTTTTTTGTTTTGCTTTTTTCTTTCTTTCTTTTGTTGGTTTGAAGTTTTATTTGAGTGCTGGTTAAGTCCATGAAGCTTAATTTTAGTGAGATCTTTAATTTGGGTATTTGACTTCAAAATAGTGAAGCATTTATACTGCCAAAGTATGTTCTCTAAGCAGTATTATTTTTCAACTGTATCTCTGACTTTCTGAGCCTCAGATACAGTCTGCAGGGAAAAAGAATTCAGGTTGTAACGGGCAAATACGATGGCAATGGTTGGTATTAAGTTGAAGAAAAATTGCAGTGTTTTTTCTGGCTCATCTTGAAATTTTTGATCTTCCCAACAACCAGTTTCCATCATATGTTGCCCTTTCTAATAATGTGTGTCTTTGACAGTTTTATGCAACAATTTGTGCATAACACAGGCCATTTTGTTTGACATTCATTTTTTTTTATAAAATCAGTGGGTTGTTGTTTTTCCTCTTATCCAGTTGCCTTAAATGAATGCCTCTGTGAATGAATGTTGATTATGAAAAGTGTCTTGTAACATGAAGGGAATCCCACATCCAGCAGACAACAGAACTTCTGTTGGGGGTGCCAATTCTGAATAATTCTGGGATGTGGAAATTGATCAATTTTCTTTGGAAAATCATGGTTATAACAATCTAGTGCCTTTTCTTTACTTGGGCATGGTTTCTGGAGCTCCTTAAATTAATCTAGTCCTGAGAATACAGGATGTTACTCGTAGAAGGCCGAAGGAAAACTCTTTTAAAATTTAGGCATTACTTCTGTTTGCGCTGGATTTTCTGAGATAATACATTTTGGGGGGGGGATTGTTTATGAAGCCTCTTACAGCCATATTCTCAAGATGCTTAGAAATCCCTCAGAACTATTGTCCTGAGACTGATCTGTGATCAGTTGCACGTAACAAGAAGAAGAAGAAAAACAGCTTTTGTCCACTTCATTGAGCCATTAACTTGTCCAATCAGTTACTTTCAAACTCTTAAGGCAGGGGATACCTTGTATGTAATGTGCAACCTTTCGTGGCTGTAAACGAGAATTCTGTTGACCTCTACACAATTTTCAGGCACATGCTGACCAGTTGAATTTGCCCTGGGTTGAACACAACATGTTGGCCCTTTGTAGTAATGTTAACCAAGATGGTGCTCTTGATTGGAAGGGCACGAGTCAACAACATCTACCAGGTTCTGCAACATAGCCGAAGGGTGGCATTTTGAACATCTGAATGCAAGCAGGTGGGGAGGGCGGAGCCAAAAAAGTCAATCATGCAAGTAAAGGGGGGGGGTCATCTTTAATTCCCCCATCCCTGCTCCAGAACCCAGAACTTTAGCTTCTGCTTGCCTGTTGAGAAGTTCTGTTGTCAGTTGTATGTTGGGAGATTTTTGTGTGTGGGGGGGGGGATGATTTAGAAATGGGCATGATGCAACACCAGCACTTGAAAGGGTTCCTAGAATATGAAAATCCTTTCCTTCCTTCCTTCCTTCCTCCTCTCACACCCTTCCCTTCCTTTCCCACTCCTCCCTTCCACTTCCCTCCTTTATTCCTCCCTTCCTTTTCCTCTCTCTCACACTCTTCCCTTCCCTTTCCCCCTTTCCTTCTCTCCCTTTCCCTTCCCTTCAGTTTTCTTTGCACTCATAAGCAGCCTACACTGGGTAGCCTGAGAGAATTATGTCCACTCACTCTTTCCCCTTGCTTGATAAAGTTACTCAGGTCTTTCCACGGTGAGTAAATTACACAGGGCAGCAAAGGAGGACTGAGAGGCCTGGCAACTGTTGTCTTCTAAACACTGACAGCTTTGCAGAGTTGTCACATCCATTATGTATTTCACTTTAGTTCACTTAACCTTCTAATTTTGATCTCAAGTTGGGAAGCAGAATGCCCTGGGTACCAATAAATAAGTATCCACAATAGTTAAACAGACAAATACTGGCTGTGTCCAGAAATATATTTTGCCAAAACTGGAAAGGGGAGGGAAACAGTCAAGAAAATAAGGTGCACAGTTGTTCCTTCTTGCTCAACTTTTTGTACTGTAACTTAAAAAAAAAAAAAAAACAGCAAGGAAAGCTTTTAATTGATGAATCGCTCATCTCTAAGGGTTGTTTAATTTGTGGTTTGTGCAGTCTCTATTCCTGGCATCATTGATGAACTGGAATGAAAATGTGGAAAATCTAATCTCAAAAGACCCTGGAAATATCAATGTAAAAAAAAAAAATATGTAGTCTGTCTTTTCCAAAATGAAAACAAATTGCTCTATAGATCTGTTTTTTAAAAAAAACAATAAAACACCAAACCGCACAGTCCTATTGTAAAGCAAATGTTTTTGCCTCTGATTTAAAGGCGCTGCAGCAATTACTTTGACTGGGAAGGCAAATTGGGATTGAAAAAATGGCTTGAAATCCTATCAGCTAACTATGCAAAATAAATAAAAGCTGTCTGGTTTTTTTTTTCTATTTTATTTCTGGGAACTATGAAAAGATCAGGAGCAATGGGTGAACTTTGTTAATCTAATAAAGGAACTGTTTACACTCTTCCCTATGTTGAACAATGCCACAGTTCTTGAAAAAAAAACAGATTTAACCATGGGAGGATTTAGTGAAGGAAGGAAAGCACTGATAACCAGGTTTAATGGGGGGTTGGGGGTATTGAGACATTTTACTGTGGAAAATTAAAATATGGGTGTTTTTTTTTAAAGGGAATCTATAGTTGCATCGAGGCATTTCATCAAGGCGTTGAGAGGAATGTTCTGCAGTTTTGAAAAATCAACTTTCCTCTTGATATGTGGACTCCAACTCCCAAGATTCTCCGCAAAGTCATGTTAGCTGAAGAATTCTGGGAGATAAAATCTGCCCCCATCCAGAAAGTGCTTAGGCTACTCTAAATTCTGCCACAAGTTTCCTGAACAAGTTGGCACCTAGAAATAGACCAACCAAAAAATTAAAAAAAATCAGGCTACCGATTTTTAGACAGCCACAATTTTAACAGTTCTCTGTTAAAAACCACAAAACAATTTTGCCCCAAGTGCCCCTTGTTTAAGCAAAACGGTGTCCTAGCGAGGGCTATGTTGGAGCGCTCTTTGGATGAATGTTTAGATTAATTCAGGATGGGCTATATAAAGGTCAGCTTTGTTAATAAAAACACCCAAAAGAAAAACACACAGTATATTTCTAATTTGCATGGAACATTTTCATTCAAACGTGATTTCATCCTGTAAAAGAATCCTCCAGAATTTGCATCCACCAGAGGAGGAGTGTTGCAATGAAATGAACCTGCGTTTATATTGGGCTGGTGGGGTGTGTGTGTGTGTGTGTTTTCAGAAAACTACCCCCTAATATGTTATATTCAAGCGAGGGTATCCAAACTTGGCAACTTTTAAGACTAGTGGACTTCAATTCCCAAGATTCCTCAGCCAGCAGGGAGGAATTCTGGGAGTTGAAGTACACGAGTCTTGCCAAGTCTGGAGACGCCTGTATTAGAGGGTGGGGTGGGGTGGGGATGGTTTGTTGGAGTTTGTTGGACTGATGAGTTCACTAAAATCTCATTAATGCGCACATTTTTCTGGCCACGAGGTGGCAGAATCAAGCTAGTAAATTTTGAACAGGAAATGCAACGTTGGTGGGTTGAAGATAGAAGCCGCTCGCTTAGCATCCATTTAAGTCCATTTTTCAGCCATTGCTAAACCTGTATAACGACATCACCGCATGTCACCAGTATAGGGTCTCTAGTCTACAGTTTTCTAGTGAAATATTTGCCTTTAACCTACTCCTTCTGCAACCTTTGATTCTGAAAGCATTCGTGAAAGAGAAGAAAACCAGGAAGTAGCAAAGCGGCTTGCTTTGGCACATAATTTCAAATGTTAACAGAAATATATTAATGCCTATTCTAACATATAATGTTTCAGAGGCAGCCTGGTGCTTGATTTATTCCTGTTTTTTGCACTGTGTTTGCTTTATTAAATGGGGAGGGCATATAAATTTAATAATAAATTATTATTAATAAATAATAATAAAATATAAATAAATTTTACTGCAATATAGTCAAACATTTGGGTGGTTTCCTATACAAATATTTTCATGTACTTTGACCTTGGGTGTTTAGTAGAATCAGATAAAAGGATTAGGTAGCAGTGACAGACCTACAATTATAAGGCTGGAAAGGGGTCCTTGGAGGTCTTCTAGTCCAACCCCCTGCCCAAAGCAGGAGCCCTTATACCTCCAAATTCACTTTGATTTTAATTCTATTTTTGGACATGACTCTTTCACATTTTAACAGCTGTTGCAAAATTCCTATCATGTGTCCAACTGACTCATATTTATGACAGTTGCAGCATCCTGCAGTCATAAGATTCCCTTTTGTGACCTGACAAGCAAAGCCAATGGGGAAGCCTGATTCACTTAACAACCATGTTACTAATTTAACAACTGCAGTGATTCATTTAACAACGACAAAAGTCGTAAAATGGGACAAAAACTCACTTGGCAACTGTCTTGCTTAGCAACAGTAATTTTGGGCTCAATTGTTGTCATATGCCAAAGTCTACTAGTAATTCCATTCACTTTCAAGGTTCAAGATAGCACCCCATGTATCAGACAATATGCCTTTTTGGATTAACGCCTTTATACTGCAAGATCTGTTTGTATAACTTACAACCCACATAACTAGCAAAAAGTGGCAAGGCTTGTTAAACTGGTTGAAAACCAGAATCTAGTGGGGGGGGGGGGTTTGGTCTCATTGATGATGTGCCATCAAGTCAACCTTAGCTGTAAATGACAACCTTTTCTAGAATGATCAGGCCCAAAGTTGGTCTTTCAAGTGGTCCATCAGCGCCCCCAAAGCCACTATAAGTTATTTACCTTGCTGTAGGAAGTTACCACCCACTCCTAGAAGAATGAAATATTAAAAAGGCAGAATATTATGTTTCCCTGGATGAGAAAATGGAGAAACATGTTTTTTTTTAGGCAGGAAGCAGACTCAATAGCCCACACTCTCCTCCTAGGTTTATTCATAAGCAAAGGCCCTCACTCAAGATCCTTCAGGGCAAAGCCGTTAAGGCATAATAGGAATTGCCCAAACCCCCTTCGTTACATCACCCAGCAAGATTCAACCAGGCTTGGAACTCAAGACAACCTACAAAGTTACCCCTGAATAGCCCCATGGGAGCCTGACAGCAACCAATAGAATAAATACCCTTGCCACAGGAACAGGAAGCAAGTTCAAAGCCCAACAGACGGTGTAAATATATCTCACTCTCCACTCCATGTGGTCAGCTACCCAGAATGACACGTAGCTTGGTGGTTCTGCTTCACCATTAAACCATCTTTCCAAACAGCCTCCATGTTTCCAGTGTCTTTCTCACCCCTTGGAACTGAATC